GAAAGGTGCGATATAACGTAACCCTGACAAATTTTCAATTTTTCAGCTACGAAATTTTAGAAAATTGTTGATTCTCTAACTAAATAATGCTAAAATGAGATTTTGAAGATGGCTATAGTAACATTTGGAAAGAATTTTCTCAATTTTTTTAATTTTTTTTAGAAAAATTTCATAAACCTACAGAGAAAAGTAATAATGAAAGAATAAAGTACCGATTTGGTAAACTTTTTTGAAATTTTAGAAAAAGAATTTAGTGTTATTGTGAAAATTTTAATGTTTATTAAATACAAAGTTTAAATGTGATCAAAAATAATAAATGAACCCAAAAGTGAAGAAATGGAAACAACTTTAAAGTAGGTATTGTTTTTAAATTAAAACATATGTGAATGACGATTTATTACCCAACAAAATAATAAAAACGCTTAATATGACATACAGAAAGAGTGGAAAGCGATTTGAATTTGAATTGTATTTTTTATTTCATTATGATTGAGTGACATATGATTGGATTAACAGATTACGGTCATATTACAAATGGGAGATTTTGTTTTTGGAATTTAAGTGGAGTTCTTGAAAGCGATATAAAAAGTGATTTTTTTTTAAAATATTTTCGTTGTGCTTTTTAAGATTGTAAATGTGAATTATTATTTCTTTGAACATCTGGGTTGTTAAAGGGCCTTCATTGTTATTATAGTAAAAGAGGATCGTAAAAATTGGATTAAATAAAACAAAAGACTTTTATTTAACAATCTTTTACACAACAGTTTCTAAAATTTTAAGTATTTTCATGAAAGTTAATTACATTGTACCAATTTATAATTGATATTTGTTTTTTTTATGGTTTTGAGAAAAAATAAGCATTTGGAAATGATGAGGAAGTGTTTTCTTAAATTTTATTCATTGTGGATAAAATTGTTTGTAAAATTTTAAAATTTACATCGAAAGTTTTAAGTTGAATATATTTTTGAGAAATAATCAACGGATAGGTTAACAAGCGGGTAGGAATAAAAATTTTTAATGCGTAAATCGTTTGGTTTTAATATTTTAATTTGAAAACAATTTCATCGAATATTTAAAGAAAACATTTTTGTCCAACAAAATTAATATTTAACTTGCCAATCATTTGAAACATATGTCAACATTATGGGTTCGGTAAAGTTATTACTGAAAAAGTAATTTTCATTTTCTTTTTTAATTTGGTTTTGAAGATTTTTCTGATCCAATCTAATAAACATCAACTCAAAAAGTAGATACGTGCACTACATAGAATGCATCCAAAAGGTATGCATACTATTTTAGTGTTGCGTCCTCATTGTATGCAATTTTTGAAAATTTTTCGTATGCAAATGAAAGTAATTTTAATGATTTGGTGCATATTGTTTTAAAAGCAGTATTTTTACTTGTTGAAGAGAAAAGTGCAACATTACAAACCATTGGTTTGACCCAATTTTATTAAATTTTATTGGAATCTAAAATTCCAAGTTACATGATTAGAATAGTGTTGATTTTCGTGTCGTATATTGATAAAAAAAAGTATTCCATACTTTTTTTAGACGCACACATATACATTTCGACAGAGTTCACGAGAATTTAATTTAAAAATTTTGCTCTTTTACGATTGCAAAAAGAAAAAAAACAGGATAATTTTAAAACGTTTTATTTCTAACAGTAAAAGAAAGAAGAGGAAATAATTTGACAAACATGATTTTATTTTTTTTTTCTACAGAAAATTTTCCTTTTCCCAATAACTTAGTCGGTATATGAAATATTTTATGCTGTTTATGAGACTTACATAGAAAAAAAGTAAAATAAATTCTATGTTTTTTATCCCACAGGTGAAATTTTTCTTTACATTTTTTTTTATTTGAATTTAATTTCAAGTATAGGAAAAATCAAAGTTTTCTGTATATAGAAGTGTTCAGTATTCTTGTTCATGAAAACGTTCAATAAAAGCCCTAAGGATAATAATCGGAAATTAAATTTAAAATGTCTACCAACAAAACTATAAATATATGGAAATATATGTACAAGCTCCGTAAAATAAAGCATAGTTATAGTGCAAGTAAAATTTGGGGAAGCAAAAATTTTTAGATAAGATGAGATGTAAAGGAAAATGTTTTTAATATAGGGATGCGAGAACGAAAACAGTATGAATATAACAGTATAACAGTAAAAAGGGGTGAAAAAGTAACAGAAAAATTGTTTTTTTTTTTACTTATGGCATTTTAATAAAAAAAACTTATTTGATTTTTCAATTTTTATTTTTAAAATTGTGTTTTTCCTTTTTTTTTTGCTTAAAATTAAACATTAAGAAAGTAATAAAATTATTTAAAAAAAATGATGAAAAAAAATGTAATAATATTTTCGTATTCAATTTCCTTTTTAGACATCAGACATAATTATTAGGATGTTTTCAAAATCAAATAATAAAATTAGGGATAAGTAGGGCCAAATTTTATAGCAAAAGATTCTGATTTAATCTTTAATGTATAGATTACAAGAAAAAGTTTTCTTCATAAAATTTTCATTGAAGTTTTGGAAAAAATTTATTTTATATGAAATAATAAAAATTTGTTTTTAAATATTAATTTTTAATTGAATTTTATTTCAACTTTGGAATTAAAATTTATCCTTCAGGTAAATTTTAAAATTATTAGTGAAGAAATTCTGGGTTCATAAGGAAAAGCTGGTAAAGTCAGATGATTGATTTTGAAGTAAATTGAGCAAAAATTTTGAGTTCAATTTTCGTTAGTAGTAGACCTTAATATTCTTGTGTTGAAGTCAATTTTTGCTTAGCCACAGTCTTGTGGTTATCCATAGAATTATAGCATATTTTTTTTTTTTGTAGTTGTACTTTTAAAATATTAGAGAAGTATTTGTGAAAAATCCTGTAATAAACAATACATAGTTCCTATTTTAAGAAAAATAGGGTTTTTCATGAATAAACATTTTGCAAGTTGCAAGACATTTTCCGAAAAAAATGCAAAAATCCTTGAATGGCGTTTTTTTTATCTAGTGGGCAAAGGGGTTAACTTACATTTGCCTCTCAACACTTTTTTTCATTAAAAAATTGCAAAAATATTAATTTTTTTGATACTTAACTCCTATGTGCACTGTCAATCGCGTCTTCTATTATGTTTCTAGCTATGAGAGTAATCGCAGTTGAAAATATATGAAATTTAATGACGCTCTACACGAGTAACTAGATTGTCGCCAAAATGTTAGTTAACTCCTTTGTCCACTTACGTTTTCAGTTAGTATAGTGAACAAGTGAGATTGACACTATGGAAGTTTCATGTTAGCTTACGCAGGTGTCCAGTTTTCATAAAAATAATTATAATAATTATAATAATTGTGCTATCGTTATACGTTCTTAAAGAAAACTTTATTATATTCCACACTTTATTAAAAATTTTATTTTCAAAAGAACTTGGACATGCAATAAATTTGTTTTGTAATAAAATAAAATAATTTAGAAATATGAAAATCTTCAAAAATATTTTTTTATTATTTATTATAATAGTTAACAATTAATTCAGACTTTCTTTTTTATTTGAAATCTAATTAATTTAATGATTATTCATAAATCTAGCTCAATTATTAACTATTTTATTGAAGGTTATTGAAAATAGCATGAAAATGAATAAGAATTATTGGTTTTTCATTGAGCTTTCATACAACAATAAATTTTAAGAATTTTCATTATTTTCATGGTTCTTTCTCATAATCCTTAAGTTATGAATAGTAGTCCTTGAACTAAAATTATCAGAAAATTATTATTTAAATATCCTCTTTTCGAAATAATGTTTATATTTGTATTTATGATCGAGGTATATCAAAGTACATTGTATGCATACACGTGAGTACCATAAATTTTAGAATATTAAATAAAAATTTCTCAATTTTTATTTTTTTCATACATTCAGCAATATTTTATTAAATAAATAATGCTGAATGACCATAAACATGTATTTTAAGAAAATTTAATAATTTTTATAGTAGCTAGTTATGAAGAAATAAGGAATTTTTTTTTTATTTGCTATCTAGCTTAGCATGTGTTCGTTATTAGGTTAATATAAAAGTTTTTACAGAACGAAGATTATATAAAGCTTATTGAGAGAAATATGAAATGAAAATCTGAAGAAAATTGTTTATTCTATGGAGAAAAACTTTTTAAGCATTTCATTTAATGGAATGGCAAAAAGTAGTATAGCAAAAAAAAATATTTTTTCTTTGCATTAATTTTAAAAATAGTGCATTGACTTTATGTAAGCTAAAATATGCATTGAGTATTAGGTTAGTGAAATGCATCATAAAGTTTTTAAACCAGCATACAATACAATTAAGCTTTGTAATGAAACTTAAAGTTTGAACATTTTTTATAAAGTTAAACTGAAAAACTATAAGGAGTCAATGTGTTCCACTAAAATTTGAAGCTGTTCTAGAAGAGGATTTTATTTGCTCGCATTCATCGTGAATATCACATGAGATATCACATGAGAAATTCGCAAAAATATTCCTAAAAATAAATTTAGCTTTGCAATTTCTTTGACTTGAATGAAGAAATTGCAAGGTGAAGGAAGTTATGTAGCTGTTTATGACAAGCAAATAGATATTTACGTACTCTGACTGTAATATGAAAAAAGATTGTAATTGAAAAAATAAGAAATTTTTTATTTCATATTTTTTCTTATTTGATCCCAATAAAAAGAATCCTTTGGTTTTAAGATTATCATATACTCGTGACTCTGCAACATTCAAAACAAATTTCTGCAACCAAATTATTCAAAATCTCATTATGTATTTCGTTTCCTAGTCAACTTCAGTTATTCACTCTGGTTATAGTACCATTGGTTCTAATTAAATTATTCCCAGTAATTTTGATTGATTATATTTTTTTAAAATAATTTTTTGCATTTCAAAAAAAAAAGTTAATTAAATTTTCATTCCATTAATTTGATTTTTATTTTAATACCTTTTCTTTTCATATTCAATTTCAGAAACACCAGCACCCACATTATCATTTGTATAAACAGTGAACTAAGAAAAGAACAAGCAAGAAAAAAAAGAGTGCTAAAATTAATTAATGGCAACACAATTTTATTTTTTTCTCATTGACGTTTAATTATTCTTCAAAAACAAAAAAAAAAAAACATTATTATAAATGTCAATTAGAATTTTTAAACAAAGGCAACAAAATCTCAAGTAGAAAAAAGCGCAAAAGGATTCAAAACTTATACCGTCATTACATCGAAGATAAACAAAACCAAAAAAAAAAAACTTAATTCCTTCATAGTGCCATTGAAAAGCGAAACGACATCAGAACGTAAAAAGTAACAACAATAACGGTTAATATTGTAAATGCACATTTTATTTAAAACTGTAAAACTTTAGAACGATTCATTTTCTTCTTAATTTTCTCTTTGTTCAAAATATTTTTTTTTTCTTTTCTCCTTCGTTTTATTTTTTCGTTTCCCTTGTTCTTTTTTCGGTACTCTCTAAGATGTCGACCGAATTTTCTATTTTCTCTTCGGAACGAAATCTTTGCTGCATTTGCATTAAACGAAAACGATTACATGGAAATAGACAAAAATATAACACTAGCATAAAACTATTCAAGCAATATAAGGAATAAACGAGAGAACGGATAAAGGGAAATAATTTGCATAAAAAAACAAAACGGCAAAAAATAATATTTAAGTAAAAAATAAAAAGAGAAAATAATATTCTATTATAAGAGAGAAGTCCTTATCATAACCGTAATACTCGAAAGCGAACATTATAAATTGCGAAAAATATATAGAAAAAGAAAAAGAGCATTTACGCTCCTACTAAATTTAAGTAGGCATTAAGAATATAAAATATTAACTGCGTCAGAAGAGAAGAGAATTATTATCAACTAACGGTATATATTTATTATATTTATAACAGTTATTTAAATTATATGGTGTAAATTTTTAAGAATAAAAAGAAAAAAATATTTTTGTTCTAAGGACTTTTGTGGTAATACAAAAAAAAATTACCGTCAAAAGCACAAAAAAATAAAATATAAAAAAGTTTTAAGTGCAAACAAACAAAGAAAAAGAATTGCAAAAAAATTTTAGAATAAAAAAAAATACAAAAATTATTAATGAAGAAGTAAAATTATAAAAATAATTGTTTTTTAAATTACATAATTCTTAAAAATAACATAATTATTCATACTTATAAAAAATTTCTTACAAAAATTTCAAAATAAAATTTAAAATTAAAATTAAAAAACAAAAAAAAAAAATAGTCACTAAGCATACAAAGAAAATAAAATAAAAAAATAATAAAAAAAAAACACAAATAATAAAAAAAGAAAAACATGGAGCAAACATCAGGTTTTGATGATGATCCACCGCCAGAACCACGTGACGGTTGGCTTTTAGTACGAATTCATGTGCCCGAACTTAATGTATATAAATGTTTACAATTTCCAGCTGATCGTTTAGTATGGGATGTTAAACAGCAAGTATTAGCCTCATTACCTAAGGTAAGTTTCTACTGTTTTATGATTATTAACTTAAAATTAATACTTTAATTTGTGTCCTTAGATTATGTATATAGATTTTTTTTAGTTAATTGTAAATTAGAATTAAGTTTACATTATTTAGGAAATTTAGAAAATTATTTTAAAGAAAAGTCAAATTTTTTAGCTTATTGCACAATTTTATTACACAATGATTTACTTAATTTCTTGAAAAAATAAAATGAGAGTTACGATATTTTAAAAATACATAAACAATTTGCTTTAGATATTAAATCTTAAACATATTTAAATTGCTTTATAGAATTTTAATAAATGAAATATATTTTGTTAAATTTGAGGTTCAAATACCATTATTCTAAATTTTCGTAAAATTTAATGTTATTTCTACATTATTGGAAAAGAAAATCTGAATAGCTTCATTATTACACTTAAAAGAAATGAAACGCATGTATATATGCAATTATTTTCAAGAGAAAGTTGGATTAAGAATATTGTAGTCATAATGAGATAAAACATTGTACTAAAAAATATATATAATAGAATTCTTCGTCTTCGTCTTCTATTCGATCTACTCAAGTGGTAACTCAAGGAAATTGTGTTCGACGTCTAAAGTTTATTTTCTATAAAAACGATCACTTCTTAAAACTTAGAATCTTATTGCTTTAAAACAAATTGGAACTAAATGTGAGGAAAAATTAAAAACTTTATTCTAAAATTATTATTATTTTATTTTTTCTAATAAAAATAATAAGAAATTGTTTGAATTCTACTAACAGAGAGAACAAATTAAGTCTAGGTAAAATATTTTACTAGCTCAGATTGACGTTTACCGAAAGTCTCAACTTGAAATTGGTTATGGACTTAGTTGCACTCTCCTTATTGTGTAATATATTTGTATTTGTCAATACACTTTTTTTTAAACTTGAAAACAATTTTTCTAAACTTAAAAATGAAACTTTTTTAAGTGTAATCGTATCTGACGTGTTGAATTTAGCAACTAAGCATCAACACAAAACACTTTTTGGCTTTGTCCGTGCGTTCTTTTGGATGAAATAATTTTCTCTATATTTATTTTTATAGTTATTTCTTTGTCACTAGGATTCCTTGAGTTAAGCCAAAAATTGCTCTATAGTTTATAAAACACGTACTGTAATAAAATTTTTAAAATTAATTCAACGATTTTCTGATATTTCTCCTAATTTTTATTAGAAAATAAAAATTGTTACGTATTAAAAAAAAAAATTTCATCAATCTTTAATTTTATTCATTTTACTTAGAAATAAATTTTTTTAAAGTTTATAACTATGAGAACATTAATTTTGATTTAGAAATATAAAAGTATGAAAAAGTTATTTTATATAAAAATTCTTTTTAATTTCAAAATTTAATCAAAAAAATTGACGTGAACCTGCAGTATTGAATAATTACTAAAAATAAAATTTATTATGAAAATTTAAAATTTTGATAGCTCTTTTCCTTTTTTAAAATATTTTTCCTTGAATACCAAGTTAAAAGAAGAATAAATGAAAAAATATAGAATTTTGCATAAAATCTTCATCATGAAGCTTTGATCAATAGCAAATTTTTGAAATTGATTGATTGCCATAAAAGTGGAGCATTTCATTTTTTTTTCTTTGAGTCATCCTTAGTACACACTTAAATATTTCTAGAATGAAAAATACAAGATGTTGAAGAAATTTTCTTTTATCCATTAATATAAAAATAGTAATATAGTTATAAATTCACATAAGAGCTTTTAAATAGAAGGAGAAATATTATTCAATATGTTCTTGTGCACATATTCGCATACAATAGCGTAAATATTTGTTAATGTATGTGTTTGTAAACCTTAATTTATATATGAATATTTGCATATACTTTCACATTTTATTTCATCATTCAAAAGTGTCAATTGCTTTCCATTTTCTTCCTTCTTGTTGTCTTAGTCGATTAAAGAAAATTATACAAAGAAGAGCGAGAGGGAGGGATAGAGGAAAAAAATTCACCTTGTTCTTTTTTGAAATTTTGAATAAAAAGAAAAAGTCCTTATAATGACGTCTCTCTTTTCCTTTTTTAGTACTTTCTCAAAAAAATTTTGAAAAAAAGTGCTAAATAGTTTCATTCTGTCCGTCAATCCATGGATATGTTTGTTTACAAAACTTCTATACACCCTTGAAGATAGAAAGCTTAAATTTGATATATATATATAAACATAGATCTTTATTTGGAACTTATTTTCGTAAAAGAAAATTTAAACCTATCTTCCCCCTAACAATATATCCCTGCAAAATCATTTGAGATTTTTCAAATTTTGCAAACGTCGATAAGTAGTGACTGGTTTCTTCCAATGCGGCGTAGCGTGTCTGAAGTTTAGAAAGACAAAATAGTAAATTAAAACTTACCGTTTCTAAAATTCGATTTCACAAAATTTTTGATATCGGTCTTTTCTAGATAACAGATTGCAGGAGTCTGAAATTTCCGAAACTGCATTACGGGAAATTGTGTAACGGTAAATGCCATTCCATTTCGACGCTTGTTTTTTTGTCTCATCCTAAGTGTTGAATATAAATATTTCAATTTTGGAAATTTTTTAGTATGTGCATTTCGTACGTACGTAATTTTAATAATGTGGTTCGTGAAAGAAATATTTTCATTTGTTGGAGGAAAAAGGGCTACATTGCGATCCATTGGTTTGATAAAAATTTTTTTTATTTTTATTTTTTGACAAAATTTTTGACAAGTAAATCTGTCAAAAGCACAATAGCAAATGTTGAACTACAAAGCAATTACTTGCAATCAATCAGTATCGATTTAAAATTAGCGAATGTATGTTAAATGTGTTTATAAAAGTAGAAATAAATATGTACATGAAGTGTGACTGTACTTATGTATGCAATACACAAAATGTAATATTTTAAAAGAAAATGAAAAAAGAAGGCAAAAAAACAAAAATATTGAAAAAGGGAAATTTCATCTTGATGCTTGTCAAGGCAATTAATTCAGAAAAATATTTTGTAATTATTGAATGACTAGCAAATCATTGAAAATTTTTTTATGGAATTTTGATAACCTACATAATATGTTTTTCCTCTACTTAGGCGTCACAATTTAGTGTAGTTTTACTTTTAATAAAAAATTATATCAGAAAATTAAAAAACAAATAAAACACACCTTTTGCAGACAGCAATACTCTGGTTAGCATGAACTATGCTTTTTGTGTTTCCATAATGTGAAAGATGTAATAAAACAAAGGCAAAATCATGTTGCCTTCAAATTGATAGCGTTTACTGAGTTATTTCTGTATTCTGAATATACCAGCGTCAAATTATTAAATTCATCAAGACGTTTACAATTTTTTTTATTAAAATATTGTGTAACTTCATAATGCTAAATGACATTGAATAATTAATACTTAACAAGATGCATTTTGATTTTCGAATATAATTTTTGATTCTTCAATATTTTCAACTTAAATAGAATTTAGAATTTAAGTATGAATTTTGATCTGCTTTTTTGATGCGATCAAAATGCAATTATTAATTTAATTGAAATTTATGAATTATCATTTATTGTTTTGTTGGTATAATGTTAATTAATTGTACAAAAACCAATAGTATTCCTTACGTACAATAGATAATTTCAAAAATGTCATTATTACACTAAATGGGTCATTGTTTACACAAAATTGGCAATTGGTTATTGGTTTACACAAAAGTAATTGTGATTACACTACACACATTCTATTGCTTTCATTTAGAACTTTTAGTGTGCTCCATAGATATAGTAATATTGCTTAAAATTGCATTTAGCATATTTATGTTTTAGGAAAATGGAGCAAAACTTAAAATTTAAAGGTAAAATTTTTATTTGTTCAAAATGCATTTAAAATATATTAAAAAGCATGATTCGAAATTTTTATATTTTTTATCTGATCATCGTGTTTACCGTTTAAAAATTTCAGCTGAATATCAAAATTCGCCGCTTTGGAATATAATTATTATATTTCTTGTACTCGTTTTTTTAGCTTATTCTTTCCCAAATGACGATATGCGTGGTTTTCCTTCAGATTTCTCAAATAATTTGCTCCACCGTTATAGGATTTCAATATAATTCCATTATGTAAGGATTTCAGTATAATTTGTCAGTAAGTGTCAACAAGAAAAATCTAGACTGGGATAGATGAATTTTACTCCGTTGTACATAAATAATTTATAAGGTTTAAATTTTCTTTTTCAAATTTCTTGAATTCGTGTTGGTGGCAAATGGGGCAAATTAGAACTTAGCCGACGCAATGCAATATTAATAAGTATTCAAGTTAAAACTATTTTCGAAACTTCTGATATTTATTAATTTTATCATCATCCTCAGCCTTACAACCTGGTGTGGGTCTTGGTTTCTTCTCCTTTTATTTTCTCCGATTCCACTTTTGTATGCCCATTTTATTTAGATCTGTTTCTAGTCCACCAAGCCATCTCTTTCTTGTTTTACCTGTTGGTCTACTACCTTCCGGAATGGTATTCGACATTTTTTTTGGAAAATAATTTTCTTCCATACGTATTATATGACCTGCCCATCTGATTCGGTTGGACTTTATGATTAGACTATTCAATTCGTCATTAGTGTATTGGCCCATATATTTTTTGCATTATTTGTCTTTCGAAAATCATAAGATTGTTCTCATCACTAGCTGTAATTATTAATTTATTAATTTAATTTAGAGAAATTTGAACATATGGAAAATCATACATGTGTAATTGTTCAATTAGTTTTAATATTTCAATTTCAAAAACTACAACGATAATCATTTTTTCAAATTTCAAAATCTTGCTAAATTAGTTATTACAGCTTGTGCAATGTACAAATAATACAAAAACAATAACCTGTCTTAAAACCAATTTCTAATATTTGATTATCAAATATTATTAATGTCTAATTATAAAGAAAACAATGGGGAATTTGTAAAGATATTAAGCGAAAAAGAGAAATAAAAATCAAAGAATTAA